ATTGGCGTGACTTCCATGGCAAATTGCTCAATGACGCACTTGTTCGTTGTGACCTTGCCGGGGGATGGGACGTACTGCTGATACTTGAAATCGGCGAATCGACTTGGTGGTACCACGAAGATCAGCTTTGGTGCTAAGGGGTGATAAAGCAGTTTTAGAGCGTTTCCCAGACCCTTTTGTTTGCACGGGTGTTTTGCCGCAACAGTCACCTGGAGTAAGATGTCTGGCTTGACAATTGCGTCCACTGACTGGAAATGCTGGTTTTTTGGACGCAAGTAGACACCGTTTGGAGCAGTGATCACTTCGTTGTCGTTGTCGAACATGACCGTTTCGTGCGGAGGGACGTTGACGATGCCTTGCGCTTCGTCGATGTCCCAGACCACAGGTGCAGCCGCGCTTCCCTCGCCCGGGTCCAAATCTTCTGCCACAACATTTTCACCCTCGGTGTCCATCGCATCGTCAGACTTCTCCTCGTCATCGCTGCCTTCGTCATAGTGGTCGTCGTTGTCCACCAAACTCGGACACACGCCGTCGGGCTGGATGAGGCGCCGAATTCGAAAGGATCCACCATGAGGCAACACCGAATGCACGTATCTTTCAAAGATATACCCGCAAAGCACACCAAGATCGCCAACTCCATTCGATGCAGCCATGAACTGTACAAGTCTGTGTTGGTTGTCGTGGCACAAACGCTTGTACACCTCGTCCTGCACATATTGCGATGCGAAATCGACGTGCTGTTTGATAAACTTGTTGTTGACTTGATAGTGGAGCAACCGATGCGCCGCTGGACATGTTGTATCGAGCTTTCCAATCGCATCGGTCACCCAGTCGCAGTTCACCACGGCAATTGCTCGTTCAAGCAACGATTGGAGGGTATCAACGAGCGCATACCGCAAAACGTAGCGAGGGACACCACCCCAGCGACGGAAGCGATCTGTGACCACATCCAAGGTCAGCTTGGAATAGAGCAGCGTATGGCACTTCGATATCTCACCCCACGTCCAAACAGGCATGTAGTGGTTTTTACACTTTTCCTCGTTGAACTCGAACCAAACCTCGTGTATCGGCTTCGTCAGTAGAATCGTCATGGCTGGGCACTTCAGAGGTCTGACGGCGTCCACAATGTAGTAAGTCGTTGGCAAGTCAAGAATGCCAACGAAGTCATCTTGGGATCCTTTGACCACGGTGTCACCAGCAAACAGGTAGCG